TCTTTATAAATCATACTAAGGCAGGCCTGCCCGTTCTCTGTTGAACTGACTGCCATAATCGGCATTTAATTACCTCCTATGATCATCATGCAGATGGTGAAAACTTTTTCGTTATCCGTCTCGGAAGCCACGTTGCCGAATCCCACGCTGGTCATGCAGGTCATAGTGAAGTAGAGAGACGTGACGTACATGGTTCCTCTAGGAGGACCACCGGACAACTCTGTCCTGTAGGTCTCATTCGAAAACTCGAAATAAAACGGTTGCTGAGTGATGTTAGCCAGTTTCCACAGCCAGCTGTAAACGAAACCATTCTCAGCATCACTGCGGCCGATACTGTACCAGATGCAGGCCAACCAGTGTGCAACAAGCATGTAGAAACACAGCAGCAGGGTCAACATGGCGGCTCCGTATTCCAGGTAACGATCCAACTTCCGGACTACACGCCCCAGTCTTAACAGCCTGACCACCTTCAGAGCACTGAATAAACTGCCGATACCCTGCTTGAAAGATGAGCTTTATGACATTAATATTATGTTATACACAGTACAAAAGGTACCGGATAAGTTTCATAATGTTAAAGGACAGTAACATGACACATTAAGAACGCTCAATAGGTTACGGATAGCCTGCTTGAAAGATAAACTTCATGAAATTAATCTTATGTTATCAACAGTTCAGAAGGTTCTAGATAAGCTTCTGATAGCTTGCTTATTAACACATACATTTCAATATGTAAATAACAGTACCTTGACACATTAAGAGCATTTAATAAATTTCGGATTTCCTGCTTAAACGTTATCACCAGACTGACCGTTTTTAGAACTTTTAACCCCTTCCGTGATTTGTCTGAGATAACTTGGATGGCCTTCATGTCTCAAAAAATATATGCCCGAGTTAATTCGGGCAAACCATTTCTCGCTGTATTTTTAACTATTTGGCCAAATATATTCGCATGTTGTCATGTATCACAACCAGTGCTCGCTAGATGGCATTGGACATTCTGTATGTGCTGATATCTATCGGAGTTATTCTAAATTATGTATCAAACGTTTAAGAGAAGTATTCCAGTTATTTACTGTGGTTTCATTAAAATGATATATATAACGTATAAATCCAAACATGTAACATTTATTTATCGTGTATATTTTGTGCAGAAATATAATAAGATATTAAAAAAAGACCTGACTCATACGGAAGGGGTTGATGTAAAAAATTATATCCTGTTTAAAGGATTATATTCAGAAACTTCATACCCCTGACCTAATAATCCACATCACGTTTGAAGGAAAAACTGTAAGTAATGTTCATTTCATTAACTTGGTAATTTTCAGAAGATACAAGTAAGCATCTAATACTCTCTCGAAGTATAAATTTAATAATGTTTAGATCACCAACCTGATAGTTTTAGGGCTCTGATACCCTGCGTGAAGGATAAACTTGATGATGCTAATATCAGATTATCTTAGTCACAATGTACAGTATTATCAAGAGCATAAATAAAAACCTGCGTATTGCACACCTGACGAAGATAAAAATATTTTGTTTGTCTTAAATAAAACGCGAATTTCCTGAGTATTACCTATTCGAAAAAAGTCTATATCCACTATATGGATACTTGTATCTATATGAACTTGGCGTTGTTCCGTGATAATGAATGCAAGCTATATTTTAGATTATCTGACACGGTATTGTATAATTATCTTCTGTAACTTATTCAGTTTTTATTCTTCAGCCAACCAAAAATATAATTTAACAATGGATGGCACGTAATAGAAAGAACCATTTTTGCATGATGGGCTGAAATTAATGTTAATTCTTAGTCGAACAATAAAAATAGAAAAAAAAAGAGTAATTTCTATGTTTTTTTACCCTTACAGAAGAAAATGACTTGCCGTATTTGCCCGAATATAATGTGCACCACATTCTGAAAGGTTAAATTAAAGAAAATTTGTTGTTTTTTTTTTACACATCAGTTGTACAAAATGTATTGACCAGTTTCTAAGTACAGTAAACAACTATCGATGTATTAAACATTTTTGGAAATCTTTCATTGAAATTTTTTTTACGTGTCAATTTTAAAAAGGTATTGAAAAGTTTATACGTGGTAATATACTACGCTAATCATTCATTTTCGTCATCGCATTCATCGAATTTGTTTCCTTGAACCTTTGCTTCATCCTCTTTTGATTCCCACATCATGTCAAGATCCGCCCCATCCATTGCATTAGATATGCAACATTTCTTTAAAACATTTAAAGATGCTTTATTGATTTTCAGTGTTAGCTGAAATACCTAACGAAATTGAATGTGCGTGAATATAATGCGCAGTAAATTTGTCGGGAGGTATTTGGAGAAAAAAGTGCACATTACATTCGAGCAAATACGGCATTTCTTTACATTTTGCTTGAAATTAGCAAAATTGTATTTAACTTCTGCCCAAGATGTAATTTATCTTTTATTTACATGTCAGAACAAAGGACAATCGTCAAATAAAATAATATTGTGCAATAACAACTTATTTTTAGTTTACTCGACATAAGTTAAGTACATGCAGTCATCTTATAACAGGAAAGTAAGATAAAATACGGACAAAATTATACGGTAATCAATTAAATACAAGGTAAACATTGTGTTATATCGGGTGTATTAAACAAACAAACAAAAAAAAGGTAACTTGTAATAGTATGGTAATTATAGGGTTTTAGAAACTTGGTTTCGTCGTAATTATTCAAAAGCAACCTACGTCGTCGTCATGATCGAAGGCATTGAAGACGTCGTAAGGAAGGCAAGACAACAGGTCTATGATGAACCAGCTCTTCAAATAATTCATCCGGATGATCTTGGGATCAGAAACGACCTCACCACCCGGCCCAACGAACGTGGTGTGGAAGTTGAGAACGATGTCGATGAAGAAGATGACATCAACGATACTGTCAAGCACCAGGAAGCTGACATCCTCACTAGTTTTGTTCTTGAAGGAGACGTTGTAGGGCACCATGATGGCCGTATAGAATGTCAGGCACAAGATAACCCAGTCCCAGATCGCCTTGAAGGCGCAGTAGTGTAGCAGGATGTGGGGTGGAGTTTTGGGGGCTTCCTGTCGGTACTGTGGCATCACGTCTGCACTTAGGCTCATCATCTATAGGCGAACCAAAGGGAAAGAACCCTATGTTGTCAGTCGAGGTTATTTTAGTCATGTTATTTATCAGACAGTTAAAACTAATACATATAATAAAATAACTCTTAATTATCTTATCTTGTTTAAGTTAAACATACAACTTTACAGATCTTGAATGACATCATTATCAAAAAGTTACAGTTAATATCCCAAATATCATAACCAGTAAATATTAGATCTTGACAAGTTATATCCAGGATATTATAACTCTCGAATATCACCACTATCATACTGTCAGCTTTCAGTATCATGATCCTAGACTATCATCGTTATTACTTGCTAACAGCTATTCATGGCTCTCGACGTCATCTTTATAAAATCGTGACAGCTTATACCTATAATAAGTTAAGTAATCAGGATAGAACTACAACCATCTACTGTCTTCAATATCAGACCTGTACAGTTTATACCCGAATCAGTAGAAGTTATTAGACCATGTCAACCTATGTTTATGTTACTTTCACCTTCAAATGTCGTCGGTATTAGATCATTAGAACTCACACTTGTGACATCACGAGTGTCGTCGTCTTACGTCATTATTAGACCATGGTAAACTATGTTTATGTTACTTTCACCTTCAAGTGTCGTCGGTATCAAATCATTAGAGCTCACATTTGTGGTATTACAAGTGCCGTCTTTCGTCATTATTAGATCATGACAGCTAGTACTTGGACTACAGCTTATTATTTGTATTGCAGTGATTGGTGGGATTGTCTCAGTTATAAGATGGACGAGATAACTAGATCAACACTGTTTTAAGCCTATTTAGGCTAATTATTATCATGCTATATTTCTATGGTATAACTAACTACGTTTGAACTGTCGTTTAGAAGTGGCAACAACAGCTTCCGAGTATTCGGTTATAAAAAGGATTTAGTGTTACGACTTCATATCACTGGAGTCTATACAGTCTTATCAATCCAGGGGGTCATCGCTATCATACAGTAGTTCTAAAGTTAGTCCCCCATCCCACCGTCATACACTTAAATATTTTCTGTGTGAATAACAATTGATTTGCAGCACCAAAATTCGCTGGCCCATTAACAGTCTGTTTGTTATGTTTAGGCATTGTGTACTCATACATTGATTGGAACCAGGTAAAAAATTGAAAATAATTAAAATACTATGCTGGGGAACTAACGTCTGGACTACCCTGTACTATAACAGTTACTACTGCTATTTACCAAAAAAAAAGAAGAGTGCCTACCTCATGTAAGGTGTATACAGCGTTCGTTAATCCAGTATTCGTTCTTAATATAATAATAACTGTAGCTGTTACCTACCAAATCACTTAGTGTAAAATTTAAAGTGTTCATTAATCCAACAGTAGTTCGTAAAATAATATCATCTGTAGTTGTTACCTACCAAATCACCTAGTGTAAAATTTAAATAGTGTTCATTAATCCAACAGTAGTTCGTAAAATAATATCATCTGTAGTTGTTACCTACCAAATCACCTAGTGTAAAATTTAAATAGTGTTCATTAATCCAACAGTAGTTCGTAAAATAATATCATCTGTAGTTGTTACCTACCAAATCACCTCGTGTAAATTTTACACATGTTCATTAATCTAAATGTCGTTGCTAATACAATAATAACTGTAGTTGTTACCTACCAAATCACCTTGTGCAAAGTTTTATATAGTGTTCATTAATCCAACAGTCGTCCATAATATTTTAACAACTGTAGTTGTTACCTACCAGATCACCTCGTGTAAAGTTTACGCAGTGCTCATTAAACCAAAAGTCATTATTAAAAGAATAATCGCCATGACATGTCGCTATTAGTATATATTAGAGGTATCATTTTTATATTACTTTGTTCGTTAGTAAGCACAAAGCTACACAATAGGCTATCTGTGCTCTTCTCACTACACGTATCGAAACCCGATTTTCACCTATATAAGCTATCAGATTAATAATGTTTTCTCTGAAACAAAACAAGAGAAAAAGAATTCGTTACGAATTTTAGGACCTCCGTGGTAATCGTACGGTTAACATCCTTAAAGCCTTGTTAAAGTCATGTGAAAATACGTTCTACACACCCTCCTCTTTGGTGACTAATCAGGAAATGATTGATCTTGAGTGTATCTGTATTGTTTATAAACTAAAATAATTTAACTTAGGAAAATAGTTTATATAAGTATGCATATCTGAATTTATTTCGTTTCGTTAGTGTAATTATGTTAGATTTTATACGATTTAATTTACTTATTTAAGATCATACTGTTATTTATGAATCCTAGGAATAATATACGAATATATAAATCATATTTTACAAAATGATGTATTTAACAAATTATACAGCTGCCCCAGTGGCTCAGTGGTAAGTTTGAGGGCTTACAACGCTAAAAATGAGGTTTCGATACCCGCAGTGGGCACAGCCCAGATAACTCACTGGGGAACTTTGTACTTAACAACAAATAACCAAAGACTTAATTAACTTGCGCCAAGTTTTGTTAGTAATCCTAAATTTAACTTTAAGATGTCATGCTCAAAGAGCAATATTATTAACTTTTCCTAATCACGACCCCCCAGTGGCACAGCGATATGTCTGCAGAATTACAACGCTATAAACCGGGTTTCGATACCCGCGGTGGGCAGAGCACAGGTATTCCACTGTGTGGCTTTGTGCTTAATTACAAACAAACCCAATCACGAAAACGTATAAAATTTATTCCGATGCTTCTGGAAGCCCCCCCAGTGGCACAGCGGTATGTCTGCGGACTTACAGCAATAGAATCCGGGTTTCGATACCCGTGGTGGGCAGAGCACAGGTATTCCACTGTGTGGCTTTGTGCTTAATTACAAACAAACCCAATCACGAAAACGTATAAAATTTATTCCGATGCTTCTGGAAGCCCCCCCATTGGCACAGCGGTATGTCTGCGGACTTACAGCATTAGAATCCGGGTTTCGATACCCGTGGTGGGCAGAGCACAGATATCCATTGTCTAGCTTTGTGCTTGATTACAAACAAACAAGCTTCTGGAAATTGCTTTTAACAAGTACTGAGAGTTTCAATGCTGATTGAATACGATACTGGCAGCAATCTAATCGACGTGTGGAGTTCTATGAATACTTCCCATGGAATCATAGAACTTACTGACTGTCACTTTCAGGAAGTCTTCTGATTAATGTTTCATACTTTCTTAATTTCAGAAAATTGGCAGATGTTATTTAGTTCAGCATTAAATGTCAATAATTTACTACAACTATCAAAGCATATTCAAATATACGAATTTAAGATGTTTTTTTTTCTATCTGGCAAGAAATAGAATACTTCTTCCATTTTAGTAGAATCAACACGTTTTTTTTCTTATCGATTTTATGTCTAACGTTCCCATTTGATTGAAATCGATTGTCGATACGAATCTGATGCGTGAAGTGTTGGTTATGAAACAAAATTCTTCTTTGTTTTTTGGAAGAAGCCAAGTTCACTAGAATTCTGTCAAAATATTCTTAATCGATAAGAAGTTTTGACACCTGTTCTATAACTTTATAGAAAATACGATACACATGCATTGAGAGAATGTCCGTTATTTTCGTTTCTTTGTTTTTTGAATTTCTCTCAAAGCTAAACGAAGGCTATCTGCGCCAGTCGTTCCTAATTTAGCAGTGATAGACTAAAGGGAAGGCAGCTAGTCAACACCGCCTTCTGCCAACTCTGGGGCTACTCTTTTACAAATTAATAGTGGAATTGGAATTGTCCCGTCAAATTATAAAGTACTCATGGCTGAAAGGGGGAGCATGTTCGGTAACGGGGATTCGAAGCCGCGACCCTTAACTTGCGAATCGAACGCCTTAATTTCCAGGCTTCATTTTCATCAAATAACAGAATTTCACACTGGTGTGAGTTGTAAAAGCGTAGCTTTATAAAGAAAATTAAATTTGTAGTTATTTTTTTAATTGTAAGTATACAGATATATATCTAAGCTCAACCTGTACGATACTTCGGGTATTGTAATTGTTGTTATCACTAGCAGTGTCTCGCTTAATCACCCTGTTCCTGTGTTTATACACATCAAGACGCACAACAGTGTGTCTGCGACCAAAACAACTTGCAGAACACTGTATGTTGTGAACAGGAGTGACAGCTTATCAATTTTCCATTTTCTGTAGCTCGGACTGTAGTAATCTAAGCTATCACGAATAATAGAGTTGCGATTCTAAAACTAGTGTTAGTTACTATAGAGAGTCGCTTTCTTATTTGGTGTATATTGACAAAAAGTCATGATATCTAATCAAAAACCCCTTAGGTGTGGAAAAAATGTTCGCCCAGAAAAGGATTGAGCGTGCGACTTAAAGGAATGAAATGAAAATTGGCAGCTAAACTAATAGCTGCACTTATAGCACTGACAAAAATTTTAAGCAAATATTCATTTATTAATTAGCCAGGCCGTGTATTTTGTCTTACACGTCATCATGCCCCAAGTTAAACAAAAAACACGGCGTGTCTAACTAATGAATGAATATTTGCTTTAAAATTCTTATCAATGCTATAAGTGTAGCTACCAGTTTGGCCGCCAATTTCATTTCTTCAAGTTGCACGCTCAATCCTCTTTTGGCCGCACCTTTTTTCACACCTAAGGTGTTTTTGATATCTATCTATCTATCTATATATATATATATACACACACATCGAGATCTTAAGGCTAGTTTTAGCTAATAGGACATTTTCGTAAGGTTGACCACACTAGAAAGAATGTAAATAAACATATATAATATAGTACAATTATTGAGACTTGACACACAGTTCTCTTTTGTTCAGTCCTAAAATTTCTTCTGCTATCATTCCTTTAAGGCTTGGTGTAGTCTGGTAATTAGGACACTCAACTCGCGATTTCCGGATCGCAGGTTCGAATCCCGTCGTCCTGGAATGGCTAGGTGGTTAAAGAGCTCGACTCGCAATCTGCGGGTCGTTGGTTCGAATCCCATCGTTCTGGCATGGCCAGGTGGTTAGGGAGCTCAACTCGCAAACTACGGGTTGCGGGTTCGAATCTCCGTTCCACCAAACATGCTCACCCTTTCAACTATGGGAGTGTTATAGTGTGACGGTCAATCTCACTATTCGTCGGTAAAAGAGTATCCCATGAGTTGGCGGTAGGTGGTGATGACTAACTGCCTTCCATCTAGTCTTTCACTGCTAAATTAGGGACGGCTAGCGCAGATAGCCCTCGTGTAGTTTTACGCGAAATTCAAAACAAACCAAACTCGTATCCGTCAAACATTCTCGTTCTTTCAACCGTAGTGGCGCTATAATGTGAAGGTCCATCTCACTATTCGTTGGTAAAGAGTAGCCCAAGCGTTGACGGTGGGTGGTGTTGACTATTTGCTTTCCCTTGTGTCTATCACTTAAAAATTAGGGACGGCTAGATCAGATACACTAGCTTTGCATGAAATTCAACAAACAAATAAAATCAATTCTTGCAGGTAATATGAAGATCTAGTGAATTGAATAATGTGTGAAACATAAGGAGTTCTTACATTTCACAGGTTATAATTTTACAATTTCTAAGTGAAATTAAGACAGTTTATTAGCGTATTAGAGGTTTAATGAAAAGTGTGGTCTTTTAAGTTTTTTACTTTAGTTGTTGTTTTAAAATTTTCTGAATTAGAAAGTTTGATAAACACATTGTCTTCAAATGTTATTTGCTGTTCGTCTACCGTATTTTTTACATTCTTAACTTTGCGTATTGTTGGTCTGTTTCTGTGAAAGTTAGTGAACAGGACTTCAGGATCGAGTTATCGGTGTATGTTTTACATTCTTAACTTTGCGTATTGTTGGTCTGTTACTGCGAAACTCAGTGAACAGGACTTCAGGATCGAGTTATCGGTTTTAGTCTCTAGATTTTTGTTTTGAATTTCTAGTGTATCAATTAAAATAACCGAAACTTTTAATTCATCAAACCCCAAATTATTACTTATTATTGGATCAATAAGAGGTGTATTTATTAATCTCCTAATGGGAGATTTTTGCATGAATAGGAAGAGCCTTTTTTTCTTTCTTATCGTCATCATATTGAAGTTAAGGCCCCCCAGTGCTGAGTTTACGCACTTAAAATGCTAAAACCCGGGGTTCGTTTCCCGCGATGAACAGAGCTTTGCGTTATATAACAACAACTAATATTAAGGTAAAGCAAATATTTTGAAAAGAACGAAAACGTATATCAGTTTGAGTTATTTCTTCCCATGACCAGTTCTTGTTTGTAATATTTTTGGTGCATGATAGTTGTTTCCAATGTATAAGTCTGGTGAAATATTACTATTCAGTATTTAAATAGGGACGATAAAAAAGTAAGCCATTTCTTGGTAATTGTAATTTTCAAAATTTATTAAATATAGTCATCATAACAAAACACGAATTTATCGAGGTTTTATGCAGAACTTCTGCGATAATTGAAATTACTTCGTTTAATTAATTTTTCAAAGTCGCACAATGAGAAAGCATCTAGCGGAAAATTCAGTTTTGTAATTTTTAAGGTTCCTTTTCTTATACATATTAGATTTTAATCCATATAAATGAATTGGTTTTGGTAAACACCAGTCCTATTACGTCGGAAACCCTGTAAAACTTGTGCTTGCATACAATAACTAATTTCAAAGAAATACTCACGTGGGCGATTTGAGACTGTTTGACAATGTCGGATTTGATTACTGGAAGATGAGATGAGAACTGTTGGACAAAAACGGAACGACTTCTGGTAACAGAGCGGGCCAATCGGGCAAACTTGCTGAGCCCTAAATTATAGGTATAATCAAATTAAAACAAATATTCTTGAAAACTGTAAAATAACGGGAATAATATTTTAATTGTGAAATTTTGACAACATGTTAGATATAATAATCGGAAAACCTTCTATGTCTGATGAGAAATAGAAATTCGAACATATTATTGTTTAATTCATCCTTATAACTCTGTAATGAGAAGTAAGATATTACCTTCTATGTCTGATTAAAAATAGAAATTCGAACATATTATTGTTTAATTCATCCTTATAACTCTGTAATGAGAAGTAAGATATTACCTTCTATGTCTGATGAGAAATAGAAATTCGAACATATTATTGTTTAATTCATCCTTATAACTCTGTAATGAGAAGTAAGATATTACCTTCTATGTCTGATGAGAAATAGAAATTCGAACATATTATTGTTAAATTCATCCTTATAACTCTGTAATAAGATGTAAGATATTAACTTCTATGTCTGATGAGAAATAGAAATTCGAACATATTATTGTTTAATTCATCCTTATAACTCTGTAATGAGAAGTAAGATATTAGGCTTATTTCAACTTGGGCACATCATCTAAATTGAAATTATTATAAATTTGTCTCCTGCTTCTATTAAGTAGATACCTTTGCTGGCATCGTCTTCTAGTGGTTGTTTTAGAGCTGTGATGTCTCTGAAGGTCAGAAGAAACAGGACCACAACATCTTTTTCGTTTTTTATAGGAGCAATATGAAGTAGGAGCCATAGCGGAGTGTCTAGAGCATAGATTTACAAACTTCATCAGAAAATCATTAAGATGTAAAACTCATAGTAGGAGTATTCAAAATACGTTAGCGTCGAAATATTAAGGAAAATAATAAAAAAAAATAATGTAGAGAAGCCATAAAGATACATTTGTAATGAATAATCAGGGTGTTGCTTTAGATACAAGATGAAACGTCAGGCGTACACAATACACGAAAACAAAACGCAATTCCCCAATTCTGTAAATAGACAGGGGATTTTAAAGCACTATTTTTGTTGAGCTAAATCTCGATGTATATTGTATATTGGTAGTGGAACATTTATCTAACAATTAAGTATTACGTAGTACATGGAGCATCAAAGAACATTAGCTATGTAGAAAGAACAGCCAAAAAGTTCGGAATTGTAAATTCATCCATAATTGAATATAACTGCATTAACAGTAAAACACATACAAACAAAACAATAACAATATACGGTAATAGAAATGTCCGAGTGATACGTTTAACAGCCAGTGATAATAATTACACTAAACAGAGAATTGAATAATGCGACATTTTTGAACGCTTAACAGCGTTTTAGGCTTAACTTTTAAGAAGTCAAGATAACTTTATTGTTTTAAATTACAACCTACCTACCTGTCAGTCCTTTCTCTCACGTTTATGTAGCCCTAAATTAATATTTTTGTACTATTTAATTAATTCAATAACGGTTAAAAATTGCAATACCCAAATTCTCTCTAATGAAAAAATTAGAGAAAAATTTAGGGTTTGTACTTTCTGAAAATCAGTACCAAAAAATAAATAGATAGCGGAAATATCTGTAACTGGTGGTAGGTATGTTTGTTTTTCTTGGTTATTTTTTTCCGAATGTATTAAAAACAAAACGAACAAAAAACAAAATAATAGAACAAAATAATCTCATTTTTCCAGAGTTAGACAAGGGCTAAAAATAAGACCGCAAAACAATACACAAGTTTTTAGCACGTATTTCACGCCGGGTACCTTATCTCCTGTTCTTTCCGGGTTTGATTTGGACAATTTGAAAACTGTCAATTTTAGTTTACCGAAGTTTGAAAGAATCAGCAGTAAACTACCGGTAGATAACGTTTTTTTTTTGTTTATTTTTTACACTGTGATATGCTAGTAATTGTATTGCGTGCTTATTTAGTCGTTTTAAAAGTAGTTTCCTTTGCGTGGTTCAGTCGTTCAGCTGAATACATTTTGTTGCTGCACTACACATTTGCATATTATTTACTAGAGACGAAAAAAGAACAACACGTGTTTGTTCATACTCAGCTGTGGCTCTTCCCCACCAAAAAAAAAGTATGAAAATCTTATTTATACTTTTTGTGTTTAAGAAATTGGAAATTTGTATTTATGGTAAGACTATTAAGACTCTCTGCCACTGTCTCTAACTTTAAGATATACACACCAGAGGGAAAGTAATCAGTCAGCACCTAAGGAACGGACTGCCATTCTTATAACACGCCAAGAATTTAAGGTACAGGAAACATTTAGTGATATCACACGTATTCGAACATAGCTCGCCAGCTCCGAAATCCAGAACTGTACCACAAGGCCAATGGGTCCTTCTATTTCCCCCCCAATCCAGAACTGTACCACAGGGCCAATGGATCCTTCTATTTATCTCCCCCCCCCAAATCCAGAACTGTACCACAGGGCCAATGGATCCTTCTATTTATCTCCCCCCAATCCAGAACTGTACCACAGGGCCAATGGATCCTTCTATTTATCTCCCTCCCAAGTCCAGAACTGTACCACAGGGCCAATGGGTCCTTCTATTTATCTCCCCCCCCCAAATCCAGAACTGTACCACAGGGCCAATGGGTCCTTCTATTTATCTTCCCCCCTCCCGAATTAAAAAATTGCAAATAAAAAATAAATTGTTCCAGTTATGCCTCACGGTGATCTAAGTAGCTTCCTTTTTTTTAATTATTATCAACGCCCTCTGTTGGCCAAAACGATGATCAAAAACTAACCAGTTACTTGAGCGTTAACTTAGAATTTGTCACGCAAGTTTTACAAAAGATTCTATAACACTTTCACGTATATTTTCTGATTTAGAATTTCCATCGTTACATCAAAATTTCAGAAGGTGTTTGTTTTTAAGACTCATCAAATATTAATTTAGTCGATAAAATCTACATACCATGTATTTTCGTACTACATAAACAATACATTATTATACGATTTACATGCCCTGTATTTCTTCATTGATTATATGTTAACACTTCGTACACAGTACATGATTTGATATGCGTGCACATGTTTTTCAGTCGTTAGTGATAAATCAGAGCCTGTTTGAAACAAATTAAACACAATATTTCTGTTAACAGCATATTTGTTGTCCCAAAGCACATAATACAAAATATTTGTTTTTAAATCCATATTCGAAACATTTGGTGAAAAATGGCACGTACACTATTGTAGTTACGTCATTTTAAGACTGTGAATGTAAAAAATCTTATTCTCACATTACTATACTTACTAAAGATATTGAACACGTCACATAAAATTAAAGTTTTATACATGATCTATTATTGATACGATAAACTATCCAAGAAAAAATATCAAATGCTTTGTTTGAAATTAAAATTTCCTCCTTGAACCTTCACACTAACTACTTAAAGCTAATTCTAGATTATTACTATATTAGCATTACATTACATTACACTTTTACTGTTAAAAATATTTTAATGTAAAAAAAAACAGAAAAAACTTTAAGCCTTAATTTGTCTACGAAATCCAGATTTCACTTTGGGAAGTTTATAAAATAATGTATTATTTTCAAATAACACACGCACAGAGTTAATGGAGAGTTCAGGTTTCTAAAACTTTTACCCTCTTGGACTATCATCTATTAGATATATGGTATTTATAAATATTAATACTGGATTTTAAGCCAGATAGAGGTATTAGAAAATATTGTTTGATTCCCACTTTGAGTATTAATCTAGACATCAAGTATAACCTTTTTTATTGCTAGTAAAACATTAATTTATTTATATGCTTGTTTATAACCTACTACAGCTACCTCTTACTAATTTACACCTGAGAGATTTCTTGCATTTAGCTTTTTAGGTTTTAAATTCTACCTATATATATACATATAATTAGTTTTCTGTATCTTTCACCCTTATTCAACTGCATTTTGTCTTGAAGTTAGGCTTAAATCTCGGGTGTTAGTCATAGCATGTTTTTTTAGTATTTTGAATCATTTTCGGATGTTCATTTATACTATATGAATCTGTTTACTACCCGTGATTGACTTATTCCGTACCTTTCCTCCACTATAAAAAATCACTCTCACAACAACAACACACATAATTTTATTGCCTGATTGAGTTGATCTACAACCCTGTTTCACACGATGTCACGGAACAACCCATGGTCAATGTTTTGACAATTTCTTCGTATTCCAATTTACTTTGATGAATCAAGGTATAACGTTCGTATAGCGCGCATTCTATATGGATTAACTGTGGTTTATCTGATGGATGTACATTCTTTGTTGATCAATAACTTTTTTAATTAGTCTAAGTTAAAAATGTTGAAATATTAAATAAGAAACCCACCTTGTAACATGTACAAAGTTACCTTTTATAAAATTAACAAATCTTTTCATGCACATTGCAAAGCAAATAGGACGAAACTCATATAATTGTCATTTTTTTTGTTACAAACAACAAAGACAAATATTTCTAAATACAAAAAGTATGAATGTATTATTTTTCTCTGTTTAAACTATTATTCATTTAGTCCTCGTAACTCAAAGGAGTTTGCTGCTATGACAAACAGATTCATTTCTTAATATATCAGTAAATGTCACATTCAATTTTAATACGCGTCAAGGGGAAATTGGAACATAACTGGCGGTGAATTATTACCAAATGGAAGTGCCAGATATGGCAGACTGAACTTATTACTCATAAGTTTTAAAGTATTTTAGTTAGCTTGCGTGCAGGTCTAGAAATCATATCACGAACAGCTGTATCCTTTTCTTTTTTGTTTAGGTTGTGCTGCAGGAAAAACTATAATGGTGTTGATCAACTTTCTTCTAGTCTGATTCGATGACGAGGAACCCACTTTGAGACCAATAATGGCTGGAGACGGCTTGAATGGGTAATGAAGAAAAACTTTAATATAAGTTTAACATAACAGCGAATGTACAACCTTGTACCTGATGATGACAAAACCTTGTCGAAACGTTGTACATTTGCTGTTATGTTAAGCTTATATTAAAGTTTTTCTTCATTACCCATTCAAGCCGTCTCCAGCCATTATTTCTTCTAGTCTAGTAATGATTGGTGTGTGTAATGCAAATAATCACGATCTAGCCCAACGTACAAGGACGTAGGCTACTAGTAATCTGAAAAAAATTGGCAGAATGAGTGCTTTAACCACGAGGAAAGTGCTTTACACATTGTTCAGAAGAAATCGAAAGACAATGCCCCCTGAATGTTGATGAGAACACGTGAATTATAGATTTCGCTTTAGGTCTACTATTCTCAGTAATGTGAGGGGAAACAAGAAAATGCATGTCAATCTCCAGAGAGAAACTTTGTGACATTTGATTAATAGCATGTTAACAGTCAGAAGTCGTCTACATCATAAAAAGTATTCCTTTGGATAATAAATTCAACCACTTACAATCTTGTTCAAAAGAACTGATAACAATTTGACACTAGGATTACAATTATTACCATTATAATACTGTATGGTATAGTTTTAGAAAATCAACTGAGAAAAAATGAGGGGGTCATCTTGACGTTCTATAAAACAATTTGATAATAAGAATACAATTATTATCTATTTTATACTGTATTGTATAATTTTAGAAAATAAAATGAGCAAAAAACGGGGGGGGGAGATGCGTCTTGATGCTCTAGAACACAATTTGATAATAGGAATGCAATTATTATCTATTATAATACTGTACGATATAATTTTAGAAAACCAACTGAGATAAAAAGAGTGGATCTTGATGC